TTATCTTCCAGCAAGTTTAGTGTTTCTGGCTTAAAATTTAGATCTTTAATCCACTTTAATCTTAGTTTAGTGCATGGTGATAGGTACGGGTCTATTTTTAAACTGTGGTAGGTTGAGATCCAGTTTTTCCAACACCATTTATTAAATAGGCTTTCTTTCCTCCAATGAGGACTGTTGGCTCCTTTGTCAAAGATAAAGTGGCTGAGTATGTCTGGAGGTGTTTCTGTATCTTCTAATCTATTTCGCTGATCCTCAGGTCTGTTTCTTTGCCAGTACCATGCTGTTTTTATCACAGTAGCTTTGTAGTATAGTTTCAAGTTGGGGATTGTGATACCCCTAGCCATGTCTCTGTTGCCTAGAATTGCTTTTGCTATTCTAGGGCTCTTCAGGTTCCAAATGAATTTTTGGATTGTTTTCTCTAGTTCTGTGAAGTATATTGTTGGAATTCCAATTGGCATTGCATTAAATCTATATAGTAGTTTTAGAAGCATAGCCATTTTCACTATATTGGTTCTTCCTACCCGGGAGCAAGGGGTGTCTTTCCATTTTCTCATATCTTCCTCAATCTCCTTTTTCAGAGTGCTGTAGTTTTCAGTGTAGAGGTCTTTTGCTTCTTTTGTTAGATTGATTCCTTGATAATTCATTTTTTTGGATACTATTGTAAAAGGAATTGTTTCCCTAATTTCTCTCTCAGTGAGTCTATTTGTGTATAAGAAGGCTATTGTTTTTTGAGTGTTGACTTTATATCCAGCTACTCTACTGAATCTGTCCATTAAGTCTAGAAGTCTTCTGGGGGAGTTTTTTGGGTCTTCTATGTAAAGTATCATATCATCCACAAATAAGACTGTTTAGCTTCTTCCTTTCCTATCTCTATTCCATTTATTTCTTTATCTTTTCTAATTGCTGTGGCTAATGTTTTCAGAACTATATTGAACAGGGATAATGATAGTGGGCATCCTTGTCTTGTTGCTGATTTTAGTAGAAAGTTTTAAGTTCTTGACCATTTAGTATGATGTTGGCTGTTGGTTTTCACAGATAGTCTTAATCAGATTGAGATAAAGACCTTCTATGCCAATTTTCGGTATGGTTTTTATCATGAATGGGTGTTAGATTTTGTCAAAAGCTTTTTATGCATCTATTGAGATGATCATATGGTTTTTGTCCTTGGCTCTGTTAATATAGTGTATTACATTTATTGATTTACAAATGTTGAACCATCCTTGCATCCCTGGGATAAATCCAACTTGGTCAGGGTG